CGTGTGCTCTTCCGATCTGTTTCAAGATTGAAAATTTAATTGGCGCGTAGTATGTCGAATTGGATATAATATAAAAATTCATTTTGAAATATTAAGCACGAAGTTGGAAGCTCGATCTAGCTCACATCAAAAAAGCTTTTTTTTCCTAGTTGTATTTTTATACATATATCGGTCCAGTATGATTATTGTATTGTTTTTATTAATATTAAAAAAAATTTTTTGAATTATTTAGGTTGATCTTGTTTCAATATTAAAAAAAATAACGGAAAAATAACGAATCGTTACTTTTTAAGTAACAATAACGAGTTACTTTTAAAAATCAGTTATAACTAATTGTAACGTTAACTACTTTTTTAACTCGGTAACGAGTAACGATAGTTACTTTTAAAAAGTAACTTTCCATTCTCTGCATTTTAATAAATTAGTATTAATATATATATTTAACATAGTTACATCCATTTGATATTTAAACGGCTAAAGGATTATTAGTTTTAACGTAATTTTCATATAATTTGCAAAGATTGATAATAATTCTTAGCTATTATATTCACAAAACATAAAATTATAATTAGAATTATAGTAATTTCCAAGTATCATGAAGCTTACACGTTTACAATGTTTACATTTGTTTACACTCTCACAAATTTCACCGCAGGTACGGCATCTATCGTCACGTATTTTTGGTGGTAAAGGCGCAAAGCTAACTGCATTTTTCGATTCTTTTTTATGTGCAATTATTGCTACATTGCATACAGGACAAATAGAATTGCCATCTGAAATAAAAACAATAGTAATTAACATAAGTATTTTATCAAGCGACGCGGTAGCGGCGCGACGCCAAGCAAGATAAAAGTCGGGTGATGACCTGTGAGTATACGGCACTGTCGAGGCGCTACCGCTAGCTTTAGCTTGAAGTTTCACCTCGTCAGATTTCCGATTTTAAGTAATATCTCGAAAACGAAAGTTCTATAATGAAAAATCTATAAATGACACTTCCATTACATAATGTCGATACGAGCTTTCAATTGAAACCAGTCCGAATGAAATCGGTGCAGTCAATTCCGAGATCTTGAAATCGAGTCTATGAAAATGCCACTGGCCTAGTTTACACCGAGCACTTGATAAGCGTACTAACTAGAAATTTTCTATTAAATTATCTTAATTTCCACAATGTATTTAAAGAATGATGTACTAAGCTGATACACTATGCATTAATATGATTAATTAAATACGTATATCATGTATAAGTTTATATGCATCGTCGAAATTAAGAAAATTTATTAGAAAGTTACTAGTTAGTACGCATATCAAATGCTCGGTGTAAACTAGGCCACTTTGGCGATTCCAGTCTTCGTCTTCGTCTTATTCTTATTATTCAGATTGTCCACCAAGGCGCATTCACAACGCCCAAAGGCCCAAAGCGAGCAAATGTCCGTCGATGCGTTCTTAAGCCGGTATCAGACTACGCATTGGAGATTGAAATTAAGATTGAAATTAAGATTGAGACTGAAGATTGTCCAATCACATTATAGATCTTGATCTGCATTGCAATTGACAATATTGCTGCGTTCAGCAAACAAAGCAGCTCGGTTTATATACATATATTTAATTTACATTTAATTAACATTACATTATATTTGCATATATTATTAAGATAATTTA